TAATTCTACTCCACCGGCAATCTCACAAAACTGAACATGCTGAGGTAGCCTCTGTGAAAAGTGCACGGACCAGTATTTGCCCAATTAGGCTTACTCTCAGAATGGAAAAAAAATTCAATACAAACAGTTTTTTTTCTGATAGCTTCAACTCACCTCAGGATATTGTCAGAGGAAAGATTATTGAGTGAAAGATTGTGCAGAAATCCATTTTTTATTGCCATATTGAAGCTTTTTGCAAGGTGCTCACGCGGTTTTGAAATGGCTCTTGCTACAAAGGGAAAACTGTTGGGAAACTGTGACATTTCAACATCTTTTCTGCCCTTAACAGTGTGTTAACCTGAATGTAAATGCAGATCTTTTATATGCAGAACATGGGTGTACTTCAAATCCAGTATAATCAGAAGTGGATAAATGCTACTCCTGCCATCTATCAAAAAGGGGGTTGGATGTACTTCTCCTGACCAACTGAGCACATGCATGCAAATTCATTGTTCCAAGATGAAAGCTGAGCGTTCAAACCATCAGAGACACATTAAGGGGTCATGCAGTGTTAATAGAAATGTGTGATAATTGTGTGTCAACCCAAATAAAACATGTACCCCATAAAAGGACAAGTTGTTATACACATATAAGAGAGTGTCACTGTGTTTCTTTCTCCGCAGGAAATGTGTTTGTGGTGAGTTTGGCGTTTGCTGACCTTGTGGTAGCCTTCTACCCCTACCCCCTGGTTCTTTATGCTCTCTTCCATGATGGATGGGCACTGGGAAACACACAATGCATGGTAAGACCACCTCAGCTTTGTCATTGTTTGGTTGATGATCATTGCATACAGACAAAACGAAACCTGGTGCAACAGCCTGAGAGATTTTTCATCAGGGGCTGCATACAAATTGAAAAATTGCTTTAGCAAATCTTCTCTCCTTCGGGAACAGGAAAAAAAAAAGATCAAAATATATGATCCCGTTTTACCAAACTTAGTAAGGGTTTTTTTTTCTGTCTTTAAAACACACTGCTTATGTGATCTCCGGGGCTTTAAGTAGAAAAAATAAGTGCTGGTAGTGAATGGTCCCTCGATTCACTTGGTGGCATGTGTATCAAACAGCCAGTATCAGTAAATCATGAGTATAATATTTTACATTTCGAGACCAGAGGATTATGTTAATTATTAAAAACAAACAACACAAACAAAGAACCTCTGCATCTCCATGCTCCGATCAAATGTTTACCAGGCTTTAAAACTGTAAACATGAAGCTTTGGTGCATGGTGCAAAGAAGTCATCAGGCCATCTCTGAAGGACTCTGCTGGGAGCGATGATTTGTTGACTCAGACAACAGAGACAGACATGAGATAGGAGAGGACAGTAACTGAAGGAGAAAGAAAAGTAAAGATAGAAAATGAATATGATAAACGCAGAGAGGAACTAACAAACCAAGATATATTCAATCAGATCTGTGCTATTTGTATTTCTCTTCGCTTTGGTCAATAAATAGATAGAAAAAATAGATAAATAAAACATTATTAAATTCAGATTAACTTAACTGTTTGAATTTCTGTACAAGAATTAAAATTAAATCAGTGCAAAATCATAATAATTAAACAAAAATTTTAATTGAAAGTACTTAAGAAGAGACCTGCGTTTGGCACTTAAGTAGCAGCATGATGGTGGCGCAGATGAACAGAAGAGTGTTTTTAAGGGTTTGATGGAAATACTCAAGCCAAGAGTGAGTAACTCAATCAATCAATCAATCAAATCTTACTTATACTTACTTGTATAGCACCTAATCAAGACGTTTTCCAAATAAGGTCTAGAGCACGCTGATCGTTTGACTCAATTTGTCTCTTTCCCTTTTGCAATTCCTGAGTAAGTGAAGAAGAAGGAAAGCGCATCCTGTAATCTAATGGCCAGGAGCATAAAAAAGAGTTTGTGAGTCTGCAGGTAGAGCAGAGTAGAAACAGCAGTCTGCTGCCGAGTGCACTTCTCTGCCTGGTGAATGCACCAAGCAGAAGGTAGGGGGCACTATCCAAAGCAGGAAGCGTTTTTTTCCAGACTCCTACACCCTGCCTTTATCACCAGAGTCTAATTTTATCCCCACATCCCTCTTCTTGTCGCTTCTTCCTCAACACACAACAGCACAAAGGAGGACACTGACTGGAAAAACATCTGCAGAAGTTTCTCTGTCAGGTTTTAAAGGATCAAAGTTTTCTCAGGAGGCAAAGACAGCTCTGCTTTTTGCTGTAGAGTGCTCATACTTATAACTAGTCCAGTCCCTGATCCAGCTCCAGTCCCCTCTATAGACACCAGCTCTGGATGCTGCTTGTTCCCTCAGAAGTCCGCCACTATCTCCTTGGTCTTGGAAGTATTCAGCTACAGATAGTTAGACCTGCACCACCCCCTCATGATCATCCCCTGCACAACCAATGATCACAGTGTTGTCTGGTTGTTTCTGCGTGGGGCAGAGCTCATAATTATACCAGAGTAGTACAGAGTGAACAGAGGGGAGTGCACAGTCCCCCCTTCAGCCTGCTGAACTGTGGTTTCTCTTTTTGACAGGCTCACCAGGTGTTAGTCTGCTCTTATATCTGTCAGCTCGTCTCTCAGTAGGAAGGGGTAGAGTGAATGACGCCACATGCTGTCCCAGTGTGTGCCCACAGAGGAAGGGTCATGTCCACTTTGTGCCCTTTGAGAGCCAAGTCGATATTGCTGTCATCTTGTTTTTACTCAGACTTTCCTCGGGTCCCTAACACTGTAGAGACTTGATAGTGCTGACGTTTCCTGTCAAAAAACAGACAAGTGGGCTATATGTAATGTCTGAGAAAGGACACAGTCTGCCAAGAGTAACAAATGCTTATTTTAGTCGGTATTACGAATCACCGGGAGAAACTGTGATGTGGAGAGGATATGGAAAGGAACTGGCAGCTGCTAAGAAGTTTGCATATGATGAAAAATGTCCTGGTTCACCAAAACACTAAAGTCAAAACATTTGGAGCTCCCCCTGCTGACTGGTTGCAGTATCGTCCATTAAACCGACAACCTACTGTGCATATCAATGGATGAAACATGAATCAACTATGAAATCAAAATACATTCTTCTAAAATATTATATCTTTCATTTAAGTTGTTTCATTTTCTGATGTGTAAATGGTCGACTTACTAAGAAGTGAAATTTGAATTAGTTATTAAATGCTATAAAATTGTGAATAATGCAGATTATGGCTCAAAAAAATTCAAATGCACAAAGTTTGCTTCAGTTTTGTATAACAGGGAGAGGTTGAGAGACATGTCACCCATCTTTATTTACATTTAATACTTTTTAACTCTACATGAAATAAAGAAGTGTTTTAATTTCTTTCTTCTTCTTTCTTTAGGTCAGCGGTTTCCTGATGGGGCTGAGTGTCATCGGCTCCATTTTCAACATCACGGGGATCGCTGTGAACAGATACTGCTACATCTGTCACTCCTTCTCCTACAGTCGGCTGTACAGCTATCGTAACACTCTGCTGTTCGTTGCCTTAATCTGGGTGCTCACTATAGTGGCCATAATCCCCAATTTCTTCGTTGGATCCCTGCGTTACGATCCCAGGGTCTACTCCTGCACCTTTGCCCAGAACGTCAGCAGTTCTTACACGGTGGCCGTGGTGGTGATTCACTTCCTGGTTCCCATAGCAGTAGTGACGTTCTGCTATCTTCGCATCTGGGTGCTTGTGATCCAGGTCAGTAATGTCCTTCTTTGTGAGGTTATTTAGATCTTTAGAGAAACACAAAAGAGGTAATGTTTTTGTTGTTTGTAATTTATTTTATTTTTTGTAACCGTACAGGAACAAAACCTGGAGAGATGAGCTCTAAGACCCTCAGAGGGTCGATTATAACTGGACTATTATGTAGAACTGTTAATCTAATTAAAAATTTCACAATTTATCTGGAGAGAAAGAAAGCCCTGATCTGTTTTTCTAACCTTTATCGATCATTTCTCCTTCTTTGGGGTAGGGTAATTAAATTTTGTGTTCACTGTAAAAAGAGGGACTTTTATTTTGTGGCCACTTAAGGGAAGGACCAAGTTTTCTAACTTGAGTGAGTAGAAATGCTTAAATAAAAATCAAGGACTGAAATATTTCCTTTTAGGCCTCAAAGAGCCAGAGGGTACCATGTAATACTGTAATTTTTTTATGATGGTTTGTGTTTCAAAAACACTTTTAAACAGCAACTACTCCTTCTACCTTGGGATTTCATTGAGTAAGCAGGTTTGCCCAAATAAACACATTTTTCTCAATCTCTTTTATTGCCTTCGGGAATTCAAAATAAATGATCAAGCCATCAGTTGCAAGCACGGCCCACCTCTTAATGGAAAATTTGACATGTTTTTTTTTTCTTTTAAATCCCAAAACATACTGCCAAATTAAAAAGAAGCACTCAATCAAACTCCTTTTCTGCAATATCAAATTTAAGTCGAATTATTTGATCTTCAATAACAGGTAGGCGGTGATGTGAAAACAACCTCTGAACACTGTAAAGATTTTGCAGATTTAGTGCCTCTTAGGTCAGCAGAGGTATTTTATTTGACAGGCAGATAGATGAACTGAATCCCTGGAGTGTTGGAATGTGTGGATTTCTGTGTGTGTGTGGATGTCACTGTAGGCTCTGTGTGGGTTTCTGTTTGTTTATGTGTGTATGTAGGAGTGTGAGATGGAGAGGCAGTGAAGAAACATTTGACTTCTGGCTAAATTTACCTTTGAGTTCTCTTGACTGTTACGTGTTTTCTTTGTGTCCAGGTGCGACGTAAAGTGAAGACAGAAGAAAGCCCTCGCCTCAGACCGAGTGACTTAAGGAATTTCATCACCATGTTTGTGGTCTTTGTGCTTTTCGCCATCTGCTGGGCTCCACTCAATTTAATTGGCCTTGCAGTAGCCATAGATCCGCCGCGTGTGGCTCCCCTCATCCCCGAGTGGCTTTTTGTGGTCAGCTACTTCATGGCCTACTTCAATAGCTGTCTGAATGCCATCATCTATGGCTTACTCAACAGGAATTTCAGGAACGAGTACAAACGCATCGTCACCTCTGTGTGGGTGACTCGGCTCTTTGTGACAGAGACTTCGCGAGCCGCCACGGACGGCAGGAGCATGAAGAGCAAGCAGTCTCCGCCTCCACCACTTAACAACAACGAGTCAGTGAGAGATCGCATTAACAAAGAATGAAAGCTGAACTCTTGGAGCCTGTCAAACACTTGTTCTTGTTTGTTTGTGACATTCAGACAGATGTGCAGCTACAGAGTATCAAGTAAAGGAATGAAACTTGAACACATGGCTGGGTTTTCTATAAGCTTACACAGCCTGGGTGGGGACTTTTTTACGGTTATGATATAGTTATATGGAAATTATGTAATTATCATAAGTTTAAAAGTTGATGTTTTTTGCTTAAGTGCTTCGCTAAAGTGCTAACTACGGACGAGTTTCCTCTGTGTATTACCGAAGCCAACATTTTAGAGATGCTTTGTCCTCAGAGAACAGAGCCATGCATTGCAATTTCGTTTTGCTCTTATTCTTTAAACAATCTGAATGGTACATTAATATTTTATCAGAAAAGGATAATATCCTTTAATGTCTGCCGCTGTAGACTCTCAGACGTATTTCACAAAGCTAGGATAGCACTGGTAAACATTCACCTCTCTTTAGTAACTTTAAAAGCCTCAAAAAGTTCAACTTGCCTCAACTAAAGGAGAGAAAAGTCGGAGAGGAGATAATGTAAAATATCAGCCTGATGATCTCTGACATAACAGGGGTCAGAGCAGACATCTATACTGTGTAAAGCTGCCAGAAACAAGCTCTATGCTACCTGGCCTGATGCTCTTGCACTGCGAACAAAAACTTAGTAATAAACCAAGTATTTAAAACCAGGATCTAAAGTCACAGAACTTAGTAAGATGCAGTTTTTAAACAACAGGTTTTAGTTTTTTCAAAACCCATGTCAGATGGTGCATATGATGTAGCAGGTGGAGGACAACCACATTTCTATTATTGCTGCTGTATCCATCATTTAGCACACACTACTTAACTGCTGGGGTGTACCCTAACAAAATGTTATCAGTACCAGTATGTATGTAGTATCAGTCACTTTACCCTACATTTAATACTTTCAATTACATTTCAATGCTGCAAATAAAAAAATAAAATAACATAAAAAATGTTTTTTTTCCCCTGAATACTTCATTAAATTCGGCTAAAAGATAGTAAAACTCGTCACACAAAGACAAAGTCATAGTTTAGTGTACTTGCCATGTCCTTGAGATTTTCCTTTTTATTTTCTATCACTTCGAGGCACTGTGAGGAGTTTTGATGTGAAATAGTGTCTTATGCTTCTTCATGGCCTAAAGAGTAAAATGAGATGATCAACAACAAGAAAAATAATCCTATGTACTGTATTTTAGTGCCTGCACTCTGGTTGGGTTTTGGGTCGAGCTGATATTCCTCGCTCACCTGAAAGCTCTGGTGGTAAAGAGTAAGTTATCAAAGTGATCAGGTTGTTTTGTAGCTGGAGCACACATCATGACAGCAGGACTGTGACAGGTAACATTAAACTGACTGATCACTAACTAAAGGTCATATACCAGAGTTTACAAAGTTTTGTCAGTTACTTTACAGTTAAAGGGATATTCCTGTGTAAAATTAATTTAGGGTCAAACACACGGTAACACCGATTTAAAACACCCCCTCAAGAGATTAATGTTGCCGACTGCTTGCTTCTCTAGTTTTACCAACTTTACCAATAAATGTTCTTCCTTGGGCTGCGGCACCCCGCAGCTGTCTGTAATGGACTGGCCTGAGTCTTGCTACAAACAAGCGGCTGCTGGAGGAGAGTGGGTGAGTTGTGTTTAGTCTCTTTGCTTAAGAAATTAGGCAAAGTTAAAAAGATGTTTGGTGGTATGGTAAAGTCAGTATAAATAGAGAAGCAAGTTGTCAACAACATTCATCTCTCAAGGGGGCGTCTAACTTAGTGTTTGACCCTTAATTAATTTTACGCTGGAATATCCCTTTAATGATTTTATGCCACTACAAATCAATACATTACCTCATCATCCTGCATGCTGCACAAAGTTGTCTTAAACAAAGAAAGTAGCATTAAAGAGAAGATCTGTACTCCATTCATTTGTCCCCACAACAAATGAATGCAATGGCAAGAGCCTCATCTTTAACAGTGGGCGATGGTGCTCATGGGAAATGTAGTTTTCATCCCCAGGAAAACATTACTGGTTTCATTAAGCGGGGGTTATCACAATCAATACAACTTAAAAGTTTCTCACAGTGCCTTTAATCTCAATTTACTCCGCAGCATATAAAAAAGTTCAACTAATGATACCCTCCTCATTCCCCACTACAATGTTCAAGTGATTTACACATAGATCTGTTAGTAACAGAATCCCATTTACACTCATGTCGACACAATTAAAAAACTGCGATGCTGACGTTTAATTTTATCTAATTATTCTTACATAATTACTAATGATTTTCCAGACAATTTGAAATGCAGCAAAAACGAAGACAGTATATTTTGTCTATTTAAAACAGACATCTTACTGATTAAGGACCCACAATAACAGAGGGGAAACGGATTCAGAGATATTATCTTGCCTTTATTGTAAATTTAATGCATGGATTGATTCATGTATTAATGTGCAGAAAGCAATAAAGAGAATACATGTTCCTCTGCCTCCAACATCATATGCAGTGAGATCCGTATGAAAAAATTTCAGCTTGATTCCATGGTTTATTTTCTAATTAAAAGATTTCACTTGCCAGGGATGCATTGATGCTGTCACTTTGGCAAAATGGGCAAAAACATAAAAAGCACATTGTGGAAAGCATTAGGACGGTCATTGTTACTTGGTGGTATTTAATTTGGCAGAGTGACATTCATTGACTCCTCACAGAACAGTGTTTGAGAAGATGAAGATTGTTGGGAAGATACAATTGATATCTGTATCCCCATCTCAGGGTGACAAGAAAACATTTTATTGTGTTACAGTTGAAACGTTTGCAGTTTTTGGCTGTTGTAGAAGGAGGTCTGAAGATGGTTTAAAGGGATATTTTGTAAATTGCTGTCAGTGTGATTTTTACTGTAGTATATTGTTGATTGAGTTGTGTCCAAAATGTTTTTGTCTTTTTACAAAAATGAAGCTCAATCACCCTACAAAATATAAGGAGTGTTTATTGGATTATACTTTACCTCTCTTGCCATTATCTCAACAACAGCTGCAGTGTGCATCTGGAACAACATTGTGATTTATCGGCATGTAAATTGCATTCCTGCAAATACATGTTTTTCAGTGTGGGGTGACAGAATAAACTTAAATTGCTCAAATGAAAATCTGAGAATTGTGCAAAAACTTTATACCAATGCCTCAAATGATTTCTGTTGAATTTACCCAAGACAATAACAGACTACAAACAATGACATTTTTGGTGTAGAAGAAGCTAGAGGAAGGTTATGTGATGTTTTTGACTGAAATGAATATAGAGAGAGGTTAGGCTACTCTGGTCAGAAGATCGTTCAGTCTATAAGGAACCATACTATCCAGGAGTAACATGGTTGTAAGAAAGAGAGAGCTTTGGAAAAAAACAAAACAACTAAAATGTTCTAACTGCTGTTAGGGAGAAAAGAAGACTTCATTTCAAACCAAAGAGAGTTGGGTTTTCATTCATTTTTGTCAAGAACCTGCTAGAATAAATCTTAAAAACATCCCTTATACTTGCATTTCATTCTTGAGTTCTGCCTTACAGTCAATACAACAGTGTCAAATTTGAATAATATGGCAGGTGCCATGATTTCACTCAAAAAACAACTTCATTTTGCAGACCTGTTTTGCCTCCATACTGATTTCTTTTATGAAATCAGGACAGTCATTGGAACTTTTGCTTTCACTCTGAAAGTTTTTGTTTCAGAAAGTTTTCATTGCCGTTGAAGTTCCCATTGGCCTCAAGCAGGAAGCTCGATTGCAGATTCAAAATAACAAATGTTTTTTGTTTTTTTTTCCCCTGCCATTGTTTTTCTGTCTTTATACCCCAAAGCGATCTAATATAAGTATGGTCATTTGTGTTCTTTGGGCCTTTTCTCCACTAAACAAAATGACAGCTTGCTTGTCACTTTTAAAGGTTAAAGCCACTGTTTTCCAACCTGCACGTGACAGGAATGCTGTTTCTGGTCGTATGCAGCACAATCTTACAACTTAAATCCTCTACTTTGGTGCAACTTCTCACTGGACTTCAACATAGTCTGAAAGTTTTAAAAAGTTTCTGGAAGAAAGAAAAAACAAGCTCACCAAATGCAATCCATCAGTTCATTTGACAGATTATTTTTCAAACCCCATCTCTTAAAGGCAGCTAAAGTTAACCGAGCCTGAAAGAAAGCATTGCTCAGAATATTTATTTTATCATTCAGCAGACAAATTAATGACAAACTATGGTGGCTTCCTGCTTTTTGGACAGGAAATTTATCTTTAAGTGGGATTGCCTTGCAAAACAGTGATATAAACAAAAGAGAAGCTGCAGCAAAGTTTAAGGTTCCTTTCATCAGCAGAAGATAAAGATGCATGTGATATGTGTGATTATCACTGAGACTAAATTTCTGCATGAAGTTGTAACGGAGTTAAAAAGGGACAGATATACTTATAGTGCGCATACGATTCTGCCTTCAAAGTACAACCTTATTACAGTGTTTGTAACTAGATAATTAAAAGCGGAGGTTATTATGCACTGATAATCCTTATGAGCGCCCTACTCGGTGATGAAACATACCCTTGAATTCTGCATCATGCTGCTGGAGTACCTCTTGTATCCTTGCCAGCATCTGTGCACCACGTCCATACAGGGCTGACTCTTTCTCACAAGAGGCATTCCCTGCTCTCTCTTTCTCTGTTCTTGAGATTCTTTTTCTACCACATGATCTTTCTTTTGAAGAATATGAAAAAAAAAAAACAGCATGGGCAAAGCAGCCACTTTGCATTTTCAAAAAAGCTTGTATGCGATAGCTACAGTAAACAGGGTTGTTACATTTCGACGGTTTGTGATTTCACGCCGTGGATTACAAAATATCCCCAAATCGTAGCAACTTGATTAAGCTAAAGTGATTCGCTGCTGATAACAAGTGATATGCTAATTAAGGCTCTTGTTCATCAAGGCCAGAGTATGATTTGAAATACAAC